AACATCACAGGTGTCCTGCCCAACTTGCTGCCTGTGGGTGCGAGGGGACAGGTGCCTTCACACTGTTGTGTCCCTGTCCCTGTGCTTGGCTGGGGAGGAGCTGGGTGTCCCTGCCTGCACGAGGCTCCCAAGGACATCCCCTCTGCCAAGAGGGAACTGGCACCTCTCTCTCTGGGGGTGCATCCCCCTTCTCAGAGCAGTCTGGCAGGGAAGGGGCTGCAGCAGTGCTGGTGTGGGGGGCAGGGAAGGTCACCCCAGCCCTGACAGCCCCACGCAGAAGAGCCCATCTGCTCCCTGCCCTCTCAGCCAAGCAGGACCCAGCCCTGGATGCCCCTTGCTCGATGGATGCAGGACTCCTGCCCACAGCCCCTGTCTCCCCGGTAAGCATTCACCTACCTCCCAGCTTGGGAATTGTCCCCTCCCCACATTGGGAATTGCCCCCTCTTGGCTGCTGGGGCATGGGGGGAGAAGGGGCAGGGGGGACATGGGCTCCAAGGGAGTCAAACTTTGCTGTGGGCTGGACAGGCATGGGGGAAAGGAGGGGACATGTGGCTGGAGGTGGCAGGAGTCACCTGAGTGTCTTCTGTAGAAGAACCAGGGCAGAGGTGGGAGACACACCTTTCCTGGGGCTCCAGGGCTGAGGCTGCCCCTGCAGATGGTTCAGTGGGATTGCCCTTCCCTTTCCCTTGTGGAGGTTTGGCTTTCAGTGCCAAATGTGGGGTGCTGATCCCCTAACTCCCCTCCCCTCTGCCTTCTCGCAGCAGCAGAGCACTGTTCCCGAAGTCCCTGCCACCTTCCTCTCCAGAACAGCCCAGCTGAGCCCAGGACTGGCTCCTGGCTCCAGCCCTTCCCCAGTGGTGCCGGTGCCGCTGGCGGGCACGCAACCGGGCTCCCTGAGAGCCCCCAAGGCAGAGCAGCTGTCCCCCACCTCAGCTTGTGGTAAGTCAGGGGCACCCCAAGGAGCTCCACAGGGCACCACTATTCCTGCAGAGAGCTTGGACCAAACATTGTGGGAATGTTTCATTTCGGCTTCAATCCCAGCTATTTCCCTTCACCCAACCGAGCACAGAAGGTTCCTCCCCGCAGGGAAGGCACAGCCCATTCACCTGGCTCCTTCTACAGGGGCAAAAAGCAGAAATAGGAAAAGACAAAAACAGAGCAAAATGTCTGACTGTGGTTTTGAAACCCCAGAGCTTGGTTTTGGAGCAGGAAGCGCCTGCTTTCACCCGCGGAAACCAGCGCGGCCGCTGGAAACCAGGCTCTGGTGCCGTTCCCAGTTCAGTCTGGTGCTGCACACCACAACCTCGCTGCCCTCGGGACTCTTGCTGGATATTTCTACCCCAAGAAACACTGGGAATTTAAAATGTCCCATCCCAGATGTTCTCATTTCTGAACAGTTGTAAATGAGTAGGATTTGGGGTAATGTGTGGTTAAGAGGCTGGAGCAGAGCATCCCAGTTAGAGGGGTGAGTGCCCCAGGGCAGGGGCAGCACTGTGGGTGCTCCTTGTCCCAGTGTGTGACAGGTGTCACACTGTCACAAGGGGCTGCTGCTGCCCTCTCCCCAAAGCAGCATTTTCCATTTTCCAGGCAGCAACTGGCGCAAGCCCAGCCAGGCTTCTCCAGGACCCACTGCAGGGTTGGGCACTGGCATCTCCATGCACCACACCGTGTCCCGTCGGGGCAGGCCTGAGTCCAACAAGGTATGGCAGGAGTTCCATATGCACCCCCCTTTCCTCCTGCCCCCCAAAACTCCATCCACCCTCACTGCAAGCTTTGGGCCAGCCTGTCCCTGCTGGGGCTGGTGGCCCGTGGCCATCCCCGCTGCTGGGAGGTGCCTGACAGCGCTGCCCCGCAGCTGGAGAGCCGCCGCATCACGCACATCTCCGCCGAGCAGAAGAGGCGCTTCAACATCAAGCTGGGCTTCACCACGCTGCACAGCCTGGTGAGCACGCTGAGCACCCAGCCCAGCATCAAGGTGAGCACCCAGGCCCAGCTCTGGGCACGCAGGGACGCGGTGTGTCACACCTGGGGATGCTGCATCCCCGCTCTGCCCCAGAGCACAGAGCTCCTGCCCCTGTAGGCACGTGGAGACCTGCACCGTGCGGCCGTGCCAGGGCGCTCTGGGCTCTGGAGACTGTGCCAGGGTGATCTGGTCCCCTTTCCCCTCTCACCCTGTGGTCCCCCAGGTCAGCAAGGCCACCACCCTGCAGAAGACAGCCGAGTACATCTGCAAGCTGCAGCAGGAGCGGGCGGCTCTGCAGGATGAGGCACAGCGGCTGCGGGAGCAGATCGAGGAGCTCAACAGCTCCATCAAGTAAGGGGGGACATGGCTGGGGGGGCACTGCCTGCTTTGGGGTGTCCAGGCAGGGCAAGTGGCAGTGCTGGGGTGGCAGTAAGACATGGTAGGTCTCCCTGGAGCACCTGAACCTCCTAAAACCCTGGCTGGGAGAGGGCTGATGCTCAAGAGGCAGTTACTGCTTGGGACCAGCGTGGGAGAGGGACACTGCCTGCCCACCCCCTGCTGAGAGCTGAGGTCCTGAGGGAGCCTCTGAGGTCCTGTAGGGCCCCATGGGCAGCACTTGTGCCTCCCAAACACGGCCCCATGGCCCTGCTTGTGCCCCACAGCCTGTGCCAGGAGCAGCTGCCGGCCACGGGGGTGCCCATCACGCGCCAGCGCTTCGACCACATGCGCGGCATGTTCGACGAGTACGTCCGCTCCTCCACGCTGCACAACTGGAAGTTCTGGATCGTATCCTTTGGGGCCAGTGCCTGCTGCTCCCTCTGACCCCTCCACCAGACACCAGGTGCTCTGGTTCACCCGCTGCTGCCAGGTCTCTGGGGTCCCTCCGGCTCTACAGGCCCTGGAGACCCAGGGAGATGTTCCCCAGCCAAGGGCACATGGTGGGAACATGCTGAGATGCTGTGGCTAGGAGGAGTCTTCTGTTACAAGGGAGCAAAAATAGTAGGAAGAAATGGTTAGTCTTCAGGGAAATGGAAAGTGGAGCTGAGCTCATGAAGGGAATTGTTCCTGGTGAGATGGGAGCTGGCTCTTAGAGGCAACAGCCATCAGCCAGGGATTAGGAGAGGTCCAGACACAAAGCTGGGGACATGATGGCTTGGTCTTGGTGGCTGCATGGCACACCTTGGAAATCCAGGGAGGGAGAGGACCAAGGGCAAGGAAACCTGTGGGCCAAGGGCTGGATCTGCTCCTCCATGAGCAGGGATTAGACACACTGGGACCATTAATCTTGCAGAGACTGCGAGGCCTCCCAAGTGGCAGAAGGGTGGGCAGGCACTGCTGCCCACAGTCTCACCCAGTGTGGGACATCTGGGTGAGGCAGAGGTGGCTCCTGACACAGAGTTGGGGAGCTCCTTCCTCAGGACACTGAGTATCCTAAAGCCAGCATGGGCTCCAGGACACTGGAGCTATCTGTGTGGATTACTGCTGGTCCAGCAGTTCTGTTCCACAGCTGGGCAAGGAGATCTGTCCTGCTGCCGAGGGGGGGTGATGCCCACGCCTGGCAGGTGGGAGCCCATGGCTGTGGCAAGGCTGGTCCTTAACTCCTCTGCTCCCACCAGTTCAGTATCATCATGCGGCCCCTCTTCGAGTCCTTCAATGGGATGGTGTCCACGGCCAGCATGGAGAGCCTCACCCAGACATCCCTGGCCTGGCTGGACCAGCACTGCTCCCTCCCAGCGCTTCGGCCGAGTAGGTGTCCCGAGTGAGCGGGGTGGGCACGGACTAAGGGAAAGGCTGAGGGGAAAAAGACAGCAGTGTCCTGAGGGAAGGAGGGAGAGGCTGATCCGTGGGATGTCCCAGGGCTTGTGCTCAGTGCTTTGCCCTGCTCCTGTCATCCCCACCTCCCAGATGAGCTTTCTGCGCCCTAACCCGGTGTCCTGGCAGGGCAGGCTCAGCCCTCCCCAAAGCCCCACAGGGTGGGTTTCCCTTCGCCCCGTCTGCTGGGGGTTGGGGCAGGGACCTGTCCCACTGTTCCGGCAGCTGGAGCAGGGGTGGGCAGCGCCATCTCCCGCAGGGTGGGTCACCCCTCGCAGCCCCCGAGGGGCGTCGGGCAGTGACCTGTCCCCCTTGTCCCCACAGCCGTCCTGAGCTCCCTGCGGCAGCTGAGCGTCTCCACCTCCATCCTCAGCGACCCTGCCCGTGTCCCCGAGCAGGCGGCGCGGGCGGTGGCGGCGCTGGGACGCGGCAACTTCTCCTCCTGACTGCCCCGGGGGGGCAGCCCGGGGGCTCCGGCTGCCCCCATCTTCCCCCCCGATAAAGGACTCGCTGTGCCACGGGCCCCGCCTGGTTCTTCACCCTGGGGCTGCTCTGGGGCACGGCCGGGAGGGGCGGGGGGGAACTGGGGATGGAGGGGGTGAAACCAGAATGGGGAGAGTCGGACTAGGCTGGGAGGGGAGACAGGGGCTGGGGAGAGATGAGAGGAACCGGGGCTGGGGAGGTTACTGAGACAAGGGGGGTCAGGTTAGGGGCAGGGGATGGCGGGGCTGGGGAAGCGCCGGCAAGGGCTGGGGATACAGGGACTGTTGAGGGGCATCAGTTGGAGGAAGGAGGGGCTGGGGAGGGGTGCGGGCGGGGCGGGGTGGTGACAACAGATCCTGGGGCGTTGATGGGGCTGGGGGGCAAAGTGTGCAGGCAGAGGCTGGGGAAGTGGGGTGGCCGTTGTCGGGGGACCGGGGTAGGGATTGAGGTGACAACCGAGGGGTCTTGGGGTGGCTGGGGCTCGGTAGGGGGTCACAGCTGGGGGCGGGGCAGGGTAGGGGGTGACACCGTTGGGGTGACAGTGCTGGGGTGACAGCGCTGGAGTGACAGCGCTGGGGTGACACCATTGGGGTGACACCGTTGGGGTGACACCAGGGGGTGACACCGGGGTGACACCGGGTGACCGGGCTGCAGTACCGGCCCCCCCCGGCAGGGGCCGCCCGGCGCGGAGCGGCGGGGCCGCGCGTGCGCATGCGCGGGCCCTTCCCCCGGTGCTGTGGCTGACGCGGCACCGGCGCTGGGCACATGGAGGGGCCGGCGGTGCCCCCGGGCGGGCCGGGGCTGCCGGGCGCCCTCCTCGTCCCCCTCATCCTCCTCGTCATCACCGTCCTCGCCCTGCTGCTGGCGGCCGCGCTGCGCCGCGCCGCCCCCCGCGCAGCCGCCGCCGCCGCCCCGCCGGACGGTGAGTACCGGGGCGGACAGCGGCGCGGAGCGGAGCGGAGCTGAACGGAGCTGACCCGGCCCCTCCGCTCCCGCAGGGCCCAGGGCAAACGGGCACGCCAGGCCGGGGGAGCCGCGGAAGGCGAAGGCGAGGCCTCGCAGGGAGAAGCAGCAGCAGCAGCAGCAGCACAGCTTCACACACCGGCTGCTGGTCGCCACCCTCAAGGTACCGCGTGTCGCCGGGCCGCTGTCCCAGTGGTGTCCCCTTGGTGTCCTGCCAGTGTCCCGCCGGCACTGTGTGTGCCTGGTGCCCCTGTCCCTCCCGGTGCTGGTGTCCCGCCAGTGCCTTGTGCCCGGTGTCCGTCCCGGTGCCGGTGTCCCACTGGTGCCGGTATCCCACTGGTGCCGGTGTCCCACTGGTGCCGGTGTCCCACTGGTGCCGGTGTCCCACTGGTGCCAGTGTCCCACCTCCTCCCGCCGTGACCGCGCTCTCTCCGCAGGGCCACAGCAGCCCGGTGACCTGCCTGGACTTCAGCAGCAATGGAAAGTACCTGGCGTCGTGCTCGGAGGACCGCACGGTGCGGCTGTGGAGCACCCGGGACCTGGCGGGGCGGGAGCACCGCTGCCTGCGCGCCAACGTGGGGCTGGACCACGCCGAGCTCGTCCGCCTCAGCCCCGACTCACGGTACGGACGGGCCTCCTGCCGGCACCGCGGTGTCCTGCGGAGGCACCGATCCCACAGCCGGGCCTCGCTGGGATCAGTGGTGCGTGCCTCGGGATGCGTGGAGCCGGTGTTCATCACTGGGTCGTCACTATAACCACTGACCCGTGGCCTTTCCTGAAGGCAGCTGGCACGGAATCACAGGACAACAACAGTCAGGGTTGGAAGGGACCTCTGGAGATCATGCAGTCCAACCCCTCATGGGTTAATGTGGTTCTCGGGGCAAATATCCCAGTGCCCAGCATGACCGTGGAATGCCGTTGAGGTCTCTGTCAGCTGGGTTGTGCTGCTGAGCCTCTCTGGTGGGCTCAGGAGCTCTTGCTGGGTGGGAAATTTGGTGGGAAAGTGTGTCTTGGCTCTTCTGTGAAGTGACCTCTTTTAGAGAGAGGAAAGCATCTCATTTCCAGGTGTAATAAATTCTGTTCTTTTCCATTTAGTGTTGCAGTGGGGCCAACACGGGGAGAGAACTTGGTGCCCTCGTGAAGCTTTTTACCTGCCAGTGTATCCCTCTCCCCAGGTGGCCCTGAGTGACCTGGGCTGAGCTGGGGCTCAGGACCTGTCCCTCCACAGGGCTTTCATTGTCTGGCTGGCAAATGCCGAGACTATTCGTGTCTACAAGATGACCAAGAAGGACGACGGGAGCTTCACCTTCACTGCGAGTTCTGGGGACTTCCCAAAGAAGCACAAAGCTCCTGTCATTAACATAGGGATTGCAGAGACAGGTATGGAAATGACCTGCTCACCTATCCAGGTTGGCTTTGATTTCCTTTTGAAGCTGCCAGGTTCAAAGTGTTGGAGTTTTTGGCATTCTCAAGGTTGTGCTCAGCACTAGTACTTGACTCCCTTAGGGATTATTTTTTACTTAATTTATTCCTGAGTGAACCAAAAGGTGCCATTTTCAGACCCATTCTGTCCCTGTAACCAGCTCCCCGATATGCACAGTCTCTTAATTTACATTTTCAGGGATGCTGTTGCAAAGAGGTCTGGTCTCAATATTGAGAGGATCGCTGTTCTCTGGCCTGCCAGTCTCTCTTTAACCAGTCAGAAATCTCTCTAGTGAGTTCTTATGGTCTATCTTGAACTTCTGGGATCACCTAGAACAGAGGTGGAGGTGGGTGGGTGGGAATTCTGTGTTAGTGGTGAGGGCTTGATGCTTCAGGTATGTGACAGCAGGTGGATTTGAGTTCACCTCTGTAACAGGAGAGCAGGGAAAATGTTAACCAAGACCTTTGTTCAGCAGTGAAAGTGAAAACTTAAACCTGCAACAAGTAGCTGAAAGGTAAACAGGCAACTCCCTGCTGGGGCTGATGTGGCAGTGGGGAAGTGGGAACAAGCAGGAGTCCAACACGGACACAACCAATAACCATGGATGTGACTGGGATTCAGCTGCCTGCCCACAGTCCATGGCTGATCCTTGAGCTGGTTTTAGGCACGCAGGGCAGGTGGAATGTGCTGTGTTCCTGCTGTGGCACAGCCTGTGCTGAGCTCTGCAGGGGCTGAGGGTGCTGAGTGAAGGGCACATGTGGGCCCAGTGCCCGCTGCCCACCCAAAACCCAAGGGAGCACTAAGGCATAACCAGGAGCTGAGTCTTCTGATTGACCCTCCTTGGATTTTGGTGCTGGTTTTGGTTCTCTCCAGCTGCAGCGAGAGGTTGTGCTGGGGCTTTAATGAGTCTCTGGCCGTGTTAGGTCCGGCGCCTCTCCTGATCTTTGCCTTTTTCCCCCAGGGAAGTTTATCATGACAGCTTCCAGTGACACCACCATCCTGATCTGGAGTCCGAAGGGAGAAGTCCTGGCCAGCATTAACACCAACCAGATGAACAATGCCTATGCCACGGTGTCACCCTGTGGGAGGTGAGGGACAGGAGGGATTCCGGGCTGTTCTCGCTGCAGGAGCAGCTGGGAACCTCGCTCCTTCCCACAGGACATCATCAGTGCAGACCATCAGCAGTTGGTTGTTGTTGTTGTAATGCAGTTTTCTGAGGGTTCCACAGTTTTTAAACGGGATTTTTCCCTCTGGGAGGTGGAGCTGATGCAGGCTCTGACGCAGTGTTAGCGTTGTGCCTCAGCGCTGCTGTTCTGGTAACCTGAGAACAGCCTTGGCCTCAGGTAGCAGAGATGGGGCAGAGCAAATGGCCTATGCAAATCAAACAGCATTTTGAACTTGTTTGTAAGCTCTTAAAGGTTAATTACAAAGCTAAAGTCTTTATTTCTGGGAGATCCGTTTATCAGGAAAATCTTGTTCTCTGCTCTGTCTTTAACCTGTTGCTGCAGGACGACTTGCCTTGCTCAGCTCCAGGCTCAGGGAGTTTGGGGATCGTAAGCATTGAACTCATTTACTTTAGCCTGAGAATTTCTCATTCCTGAGTTGTTCTGGTGCTCTTCCTTAGCACTTCCCTTACCAGCAGGGTTTCAGGGAAAAGTGAAAACTTTCCCAGCTGACCAAAGATTTGAGTGGAGGAGTCAGGACAGGTTTGCAGAGCACTGGCCCTGCCTTGCTCAGGTGCTCTGTAACAGGTACCCTGTGTCTCTGCTTCTTCCTTCACGCAGGTTTGTGGCATCCTGTGGCTTTACCCCTGATGTGAAGGTGTGGGAGGTGTGTTTTGGCAAGAATGGAGAATTCCGGGAGGTGACCAGGGCCTTTGAGTTGAAGGGCCACACTGCTGGTGTACATTCCTTCTCCTTCTCCAACGACTCGAGGAGGTGAGTGTGTGTTATCCAACACAGCCCACTCTGGATCACCCTCAGGACACAGGAGCTCACCCCTTCTAGGGTTCCCCAGCTGCACCCCTGAGCTGGGAAGGGTAAAGCACTGCCCTGGGAGGCCAAAACTGGCTCGTGCCACCTGTGTATTCCCTACCCATGGGGATCTCATGTGATTTAACGAGACCAAGTGCTGGTGCTGCACCTGGGTCAGGGAAACCCCCAGGCTCAATCCAGGCTGGGGATGAGCAGATGGAACACCCCTGGGGAGAGGCTGGACATGACCCAACCCTGTGCCCTGGGCTGATCCCACAGCAGGGGAGGGGAGAATTCTGCCCCCTCAGGTGAGACCCCCCCTGCAGAGCTGCTGGAGCGAGATGACCAGAGGGGTGGAGCAGCTCTGCTGTGAGGAAAGGCTGAGGGAACTGGGATTGTTCAACCTGGAGAAGAGAAGGCTTTGGGGTGACCCAGTTGTGGCCTTCCAGTACCTGGAGGGAGCTGAGAAGAAAGATGGAGAGACACTATTTACAAGGGGCTGGAGTGGCAGGACAAGGGGGAATGGCTTCGTGATGACAGAGAGCAGGGTTAAATGGGATATGGGAAGGAAACCCTTTGCTGTGGGGGTGGTGAGGCCCTGGCACAGGTTGGGCAGAGAAGCTGTGGCTTGCCCCATCCCTGGACGCATCCAAGGCCAGGCTGGACGGGGTTTGGAGCAACCTGGGATAGTGGAAAGACGACACAGCCTATACATGAGTACAGACTCACCCTGTCCAAAACACCTCCCCGGAGGATCCCTGGTGCGTTCCCTCGCACCAACCCGTGCTCTCTCGCACCTGCAGGATGGCAACGGTGTCCAAGGACGGCACGTGGAAGTTCTGGGACACGGACGTGGAGTACAAGAAGCAGCAGGACCCGTACCTGCTGCTGACGGGGCAGTGCTCGGTGCCGGAGCCGCGGCTCATCGCCCTGTCCTCCGACGGGCGCGCCGTGGCCGTGGCGGGCGGCGCCGACATCGCCGTGTACAACACCCGCCGCGGCGAGGAGGAGGAGCGGCTGCAGGGCGTGCACGGCCACCGCATCACCGGCCTCGCCTTCGACACCACCGGCCGCTACCTCGTGTCCTGCGGGGACCGCGCCATCCGCGTCTTCCACAACGCCGCGGGGCACCGCGCCCTGGTGGAGGACTTGGAGGCCATGCTCAAGAAAACCGGGAACAAGGCCACGCGGGAGCGGCTGGAGCAGCAGATCTGCGGCGCCCGCAAGGCGCTGGCCGCCATCTACGGCAGGAAGGTCTGAGCTGCCCCCGCCCGCCGCGGCCTTTCGGGGAGGGTTTTTTTTTAAATTTTAATAGCTCTGAACGGTTGGTAATAAAAAGAGTGGCCTCCGGGTCCGTGCTCACCTGCTCTGTGACCGCAGGGACGGGGCTGGGGCATGTGGGGGGGCTCTCACTGTGAAAGCGGTGTTTCCTCCTGCGGGCTTGGATCATCACTATCCTACGGGAGGGATGGCCCAGACAGCGCCCGCGAGGTATCCTGGGCTTAGAAATGGAATTGTGGGGTAGTTTGTGGGTTTTTTTGGTGTGTGTGGGAGGCTCAGGGGAGCTGCCCAAGCTCAGTTTTTGATGCGGAGTGGGGAAGGTTTCTGCTGCACGGGACGGGGCAGTGCTCTGAGGGTACTCCGCGCTCAGGCTCGCCCCGTTCCCCAGCCCGGGGGTCTCCGAGTGGCCCCGTTCCCCGGCCCGGGGGTCTCAGAGTGCCCCGTTCCCCAGCCCGGGGGTCTCAGAGTGCCCTGTTCTCAGCCCGGGGTCCTGAGTGGCCCTGTTCCCAGCCTGGGGTCTCCGAGTGGCCCCGTTCCCCAGCCCGGGGGTCTCAGAGTGGCCCCGTTCCCCGGTCCGGGAGTCTCAGAGTGGCCCCGTTCCCCAGCCCGGGGGTCTCAGAGTGCCCCGTTCCCCAGCCCGGGGGTCTCAGAGTGCCCTGCTCCCAGCCCGGGGTCTCTGAGTGGCCCTGTCCCCCAGTCCGGGGGTCTCCGGCTCGCCCCGTTCCCCAGCCCGGGGGTCTCAGAGTCGCCCCGTTCCCCAGACCGGCTGTGCAGGGGAGAGCGGGATTTGCCCCAAGTAAAGATGGCGGCGGCCGCGTCACGTGGCCTGTGCGTCCTCTGCGTGCCCGCAGCGGGGCGGGGGCCGCACCCCGCGCAGGCGCAGCGGGCGGGGCGTGCCCCGGCGCGGTGACGCAGGACGCGCAGCGCGCGGGCGGGCCGCGCAGGGCGCGTGCGCGGGGCCGGGCGCGGCGGCGGCGGGTGCGGCGGGGGCCGGTGCTGCGGGGGCTGCGCGCGCGCCATGTCGGGGCGCTCGGTGCGGGCCGAGACCCGCAGCCGCGCCAAGGATGACATCAAGAAGGTGATGGCGGCCATCGAGCGCGTCCGCAGATGGTGAGGGGCGGGCCCGCGGGGTGGGAGGGGCCCCCGCCGCTGCCGCGCGCGGCCAATCAGCGCGCTGCGGGGCGGGACGCGGGGGCGCGCGGCCCAACCAGCGGGCGCGGGGCGCGGGGCCGGCGGCCAATGGGAGCGGGGGAGGGGCGGGAGCGGCCGTGACGGGCAGGCGGCGTAGCCAATGGCGGCGCGGCGGAGCGGGCGATTGATGCTCCGCCAGGCCAATGGCGGCGCGGCGGGGGGGCGGGGCCTGTTGCCATGGCGCCCCGGCCCCCCCATGGCAGCGCCGTGTCCCGCAGGGAGAAGAAGTGGAAGACGGTGGGAGACACGTCCCTGCGGATATTCAAGTGGGTGCCGGTGGCCGACAGCAAGGAGGTGGGTACCGCACGTGGAGCCCCTAAGCCGGGACGAGCCTCCCTTAACCCCCCTGTCCCGGGCAGAACACCGAGCCCTCCTGAGCATCCCCCCCAGCCCCACCGAGCCACTGCCGAGCCCCGCCGAGGCCCTCTGACCCCTCTCCAGGCCCTGAAGAACTCTCCTGAGTCCCCCCGAACCCCTGCCAAGCCCCCCAGAGCCACCCAGTCGACCTCCAAGCCCCCGGCCCCTGGCCCCACCGACCCCGGAGCCCACCTGAGCCCACCCCGAGTCCATCCCTGAGGCCCCCAAGCCAAACCGAGCCCCTGCCACACCCCTGCGAACCCCCCTGGCCCCCACCAAGCCCTTCTGAGCACCCCCTGAGTCCCAAGGAGCCCCCTTGAACTCCCCACGGGCCGACTTGAGCTCACTCAGCCCTGCTGAGCCCCCTGAGTTTCCCCAAGCCCCTTCCCACTCTCCCTTAGGCTCTCTGCCTGACCCCCCCTGAGGACTTGATTATCTCAGTGTCACTCCTAGGCAGGCATCATCTCCTCATCTCCCAATTTCCAGCTTTCCACAGCCAGAGTTTTACCTCTCACTTAGCAAAGTGCCCCCAAAGGGAAGGGAAAAGGCCAACCTGAGCACATCCCTCTGGGCTGCTGGAGACGGAGAGGGGAAGGGCTCCTCTGGAGCAACCTGGGCTCCTCTGACCTCCTGTTTGTGCTTTCCTTTCTCTCCTCAAGAAAGAGAAATCCAAATCGAGCAGCAGCACAGCCCGAGAACCCAATGGCTTCCCAGCTGACACCTCTGCCAACTCCTCCCTCCTCCTGGAGTTCCAAGGTGGGTCTGGCTGAGCCCCCTCCGACCTGGGGAAAGACTCCGAGGCCGGACACTGCTGGTTCTGTGTGTGCTGTCTGGATGAGGAAGAGCAGTGTCCTCCTCCAGTGTGGGGTTGTGCTGATCCACTTCTGGACTGTCCCTGCCCAAGCTGTTTGGGTCAGAAGGAATCTTAATCAGCTGCTTCTAGGATCTTCATGTGGAACAGGAGGACTGGGGGTTCCTGTTCCCCCTTTCCACTCCCTACTGGGGAGAGGCAGTAGCTGCCCGCAGCCAAGCCTGTTGCTTCCAGCAGTGACTTCCCTGGACCTTGGGATGAAGGGGCAGAGGGTGTCCCTGGCCTGGCTCTTGCTCCAGGTGCTGCAGTGCAGCTGGACAAGGCTCTGGCAGTGCTGGAGTCACTGCTGGAGCAGAGCACACACTGTGCCCAGCCTCTCCTCTGGGCTTCCAGTGTGGCTAAGGAAAAACAGGGAGCGTGCTGGCCCTTCCAGGAGATGCAGTGAAGTGGTACTGCAGGTCTGCAGTTTGTGAAGGTGTGTGTGCCAGGCCTGCCTCCCCGTTTGGAGGCAGGTGCTGAGTGTCCCTGCTGGTGCTGCCTCGCAAACAGAGGAGGAACAAACCCTGGTAACACCAGCAGCAGATTCCTGCCCTCAGAGGCCCAGGGCCCTCGAGGGCTGCAGGTGTGAGATTTGGCAGTGCAGCCCCTTTGCTCCTGCTCCTTTGCCCACCCTGGGGTCGCTCTCTGCTCAGACTCATCCCCTCTCTTGTGGCCAGCTGTGTCTGTGGTGCCCCCGGTGTCCCGGTGCTCGGCCCCTGTGCTGGCAGGGGTCAGTGAATCCCCGTTCCCCTCCTCTGGCCGTGCTCTGCCCTCTCGTGACACCCCAGCTCGCAGTGCCGCCCTCGGCTGCCCGTGCCCCCGGGTCAAGGTGCTCTCCTTCACCAGGTGCTGTTTCTGCAGATGAGAACAGCAACCAGAGCTCCCTGTCCGACGTGTACCAGCTCAAGGTGGACAGCAGCCCCAACTCCAGCCCCAGCCCCCAGCAGAGCGAGTCCATGAGCCCTGCACACACGTCCGACTTCCGCACGGACGACTCGCAGCCCCCCACCCTGGGGCAGGAGACCCTGGAAGGTGGGTGCTGGGCCGGGAAGGGAGCAGGGGGCTGGCAGGGCCTAGGGAAGGCCCCGTTGGAACTGTTGGTGGTCCAGTGTGTGGCCGAGGCACTGCTGGAAGTGGACAGGGCAGTGGGGACTTGTGTCTTCTGCTGAAGTTCCTGTCCTGGCTCAGCGCTGAGCTGGGTGCTGGGTCTGCATTGTTGTGAACACTCCTGTTCTCCCCAGAGCCCTCCCTGCCTTCCTCGGAAGTGGCAGATGAGCCTCCCACTCTCACAAAGGAAGAGCCAGTCCCCCTTGAGACTCAGGTAAGGGAAGGGCATTGAAACCACCTCTAAAGGTACACGGCCCCAGCTTGACCCTTTCACCCTCACTGCTGCTCCCTGCACCAGAAACCTCTGGATGGATGGATTTGCTCTGCTATCCCAAAGTGCCCTCCAGGAGCTCCCCAAATCTTCTGGCTTCCTGAGCTGTCCCCGGGTTCACATCAGGCCTTGAAGTGTGGATGGGAAGGATGAGGGGTGGATCAGGGAAGGATGTCGGGGTGTGGGAAGATGACGATTGTGGTGGGCTCCAGGGCTGGATTGGTTTCCCATTCGTGGTGCCCTGTGGTCTGCACACAGGTGACAGCCAGGGTTGGCCCTAGGGTGTGACAGAGCCTTGTGTGGCTGTGCGTGGCTCAGTGTCACTGCCCGTGACCTCTGGCTCTCGCAGGTAACTGAAGAGGAGGAGGACTCTGGTGCGCCGCCTCTGAAGAGATTTTGTGCCGACCAGAACTCTGTGTGCCACACGGCCTCGGAGAGCTGAGCCTGCCCGGCCCGGCGCCCTCGCCAGCCCCTCGCAGAGCTGCCCGGCCCCCGGCACCGGCGCTTCCCCCCCGCCTGCCCCTTCCCCAGCGTCGGGGCTCCCACCACCCGCATCCAGCCCGCCCCGCCCCGTCCTGCCCTGCCCTGCCCCATAGACGGGGCCGCCGCCAGTACCTGCAAATCTGCCTCTATTTATTGGCTCCCTCTCTCCCCGCTCCCTGCCCTCGAGCTGCGGGGCTCCGCTGGGTGGGCTGCACGCACGGGGTGGGGGGTTCTCCACGGGGCTCCCTGCTCTCCCGTGGTCCCCGGGGTCTGGCAGATGCTGTTTGCCTGCTCGTGGCTGCCCTGTCTGCCCTCCCCTGGACGCTGGGAGGGGAGAGCTGCCTCTCTCCTGCTCCGGGTGATGTTTCCACTCGGCAGTGGGCGCAGGCGGTGCTGGGGGCGGGGGGCAGCAGGGGGAGGCCGGCAGGGACCCACTGGGACGCTGTGCAATAAGCTGCTGGTTTAAGCCATTGGTGTTGGGAGAGAGGGGAGCGCTTTCCCCTCCCGGAGGGCAGGTACTGGCCGGTGTCGGCGCTGCCCCCCGGGAGCCGGCAGAGCGCGGGGAGCCGCTGCCCTGTGCCGAGGGTCGCTGTCCTGCGTACCCGCTGTCCCCGGCACGGGCAAGGACGCGGCAGGTGCCGGAGCCCCCGGGAAGCGCTGCCGGCCCGGGCTCTGCTCCCCCCAAACCCCGCTGCCCCCCAGCCCCGCTCTCCCCCCGCCGCCACTGCATGTCCCGCCGAGTCTGCGATCCAGCCTGGCGAAGCCGAAGGCGCGGCCGCGCGTGGAAGTGGAAAGTTATTTTAGCACTGAATAGAATATTTTTAAAATTAAACTATTTGAAATACAGATGCAGAGCGCGCTGTGTGCGGGGCGGGGAGGGGAGGAGCGGGGCGGGGAGGGAAGAGGAGGGAGGTGGAAGTCGCCGCTAGATGGGACCGCGCTCCGACTTGCTTTGGCCCCGGGACTTTCCATCCCCGCGCCCACGGAGCCGGACCGGAGCCCCTTGTCCTCGGGAAGGTCAGCTCCCCGCCTCCCCTCTCCGCCCGCTCGGTGACCCCTCCGCGCCCTGGGCCGGTGCCCGCGCTGTCCGGAGCGGTCGGATCCGAGCTCAGAGCCCCGAGCCCGAGCCGAGCCGGCGGCAGCGCCCGGCGGAGCCGCCTCCAGGACCAGTGTCGGAAGCGGCCCCGGCTACTCCCTCACTGCTGCTCCAGCGAATGTTTTGCTCAAGGTAAGTGTAAACACTGCAGGAGGGCACCCTTACCTGAGTGCACCGAAGGGCTGCCGTGACACGTGTCACCTGAGACTGGCACCGACAGCCTCGGGTATAACGCTTGGCAGGGTTTAGGTCTTCATTTTCCTCAGACCTTTGGCTGCACTGGCAATTTCTTTCCAATTCCTTGGAAATTCCTATTATTCCAAGAACACTGGCCCTTGCAAGGCCCTCCCATTTTCTGATCTGGAACTCTGGCCACATAAATGCGAGACAAAGTCAGGAAAAGCCTTTTATTATGGAAAAGCAGAAAGCTGTGAAAATGGTACAAAAGCCTCCATCGATTTTTTTTTTTGTTTATTTTTATTCTGGGCAAATCTGAAATTATTATGTCACTATTTATCCAGCTGTAGAAAATCTAATATCAGAGTAATAAGCAATTATAGACACCACATTACAGACAGACATTGGCAAAGCTGCAGCAACAGTTGGAAGCTGAGACAGGAAGAAAAGGCATAATCAGGTGGTAGACTCTCCACAAGGTTTGGACAATCAGAGTTTGAAGAGCCACACTGCTGATGTCACATTTGTCATGACAGTAAGAACTGGGCTGTCAACAAAACACTCTATTGCAGCAGCTGGTGGACTTGAACCCTTCAAGACTCCTGTTAGAATGAGGAAATCTTGGTGACCCATTGCAGTTGCTGACTGTGATACTGTGTTTCAGTAGGGCTGCTCTGATGTCATCGGTATCACACCAAATGAGTGATAGGGCCATAGGAACTGTCCTCTGAATATGGGCCTCTTAAAAATACATTTCCTCCTGATAAAGCAAATGGACTTTGGTGTTGGCTCTGGACACTGCGCAGAGCACAAGATTGTCAAACAGCTGCTCTTGTGGAGTGTAAGGGTGGATGACAAAGACAATCGTCCTTTCTAGGCCTGAGAAGCGTCGGATGCTGTCAAGAACAATGACGTTTTCTGAAATATCCGCTGCTAACCCCAAGACCCTCCTCACCCTGTGCTTCCTGAGTTGTCTTTCTAGCTCAGGTTGCAGTTCCTGTCTGAACTCCTCGGCTGCAAGCTGTGTGCTGCACAGGATGGCGATATCTCTGAGGGAATAGCCTTGCTCGAGGTAGCTCTTGCAGAGCTCGGCCACACACTTTGCCAATTCATCTGATGTTATATATTGTCTTTCAAAGGAACCTGGAAAAGAATGGGCACATTCAGCCTGTTCCAACAACTTTTCTAGCCCTTCACGGGGCATATCTATGCTACGTGTTTGGAGGATTTCCCTCATTAGATTTAACATGGCATGGCATATTTCCTCGGCGTTCCGGACCATTTTGGTCAGCCATTCCTGAGGATACATTTTTGAAATGTCAAGACCACAGCCACGTGGGTAAGTGGTCTGGAAGAAATCCACAAAGACCCAGAAAATGCCACCACTTCTCTTGACTATTGACCGGGCACGTTGGTACCAATCTCCTTCATCACGACGAAAATTCTGAGCTTCATCAACCACAATGTGTTTCACGTGTGGGAAGTCCTTCTTCAGGAAGGTAGCACGTGTCACTGCATGGCAACCTTTATTTCTTCAAACATGAAACAGAAACCCCAAAAAAGAATATGTTAATAAACAGCAGATGTGACCAGCCCTTACTGACTGCCTCCATCTCTCTGGGGGTTCTTGCTCGGAGGGCTTGTCCTGCCGGACAATGCCAAAGTGCCCATCTCAGCACTGTGTCATTTTCCCCATGGAAACATTGATTCCAAAGTATTGGCTGTGTGTAGGCATTGCTGAGTGGCCCCCACCACCTTTGGATGCACTCCAGGAGGAGACTCAGGCCCACCTGCCTCTCTAGCCCCCATGGCAAGGCTCCCCGGGGTATCCCTCTGCCCTGCCCTCCCACGGTGCCCAGGCTCCCGCGGGAAGGACAGGTTCCCTTTTCCCTCAGGGTCAGCAGGGAGTGGCAGCCTTTCTGCTGCCTGCTGGGGCTAGGACCTGCTTATGGGGGCGCTGAGCAGGGCTGCAATTCCGGGATGTCTGCTGTGGTGGCTGCTGAGCTCCCCGTGCTGGCACAGGAGGGAATGCAGCAAGAACAGGGCCGGGGAATTGCTCTTCCTCAAATCCTCTCCCACAAGGCCTTTAGTTTCTGTTCTGCTTGTTACAAGCTCCAAGGGCTCTTCCTGGCACAGCTGCACAGGAACTCTCAGCAGGCCCAGCACAGACAGTGCTGAGGCAGCAGCAGAGAAAGGGATGGGGGCACTTCTGAGGTCGGCACCAGCTGTGACAGAGCATTACACTGAGGGCACTGTCTTTGGAAGCTCTAACACAACCCTGCAATCCCCACCTATGGAATGCTCCTCCCTGAGTGCTGGATCTGGGCCAGAGCTCAGCTCAATCCCACTTTCAGCATGAACTCCTTCCTGGAGATGAAGGTTGTGTCTTTGCCTCAGGCAAAGCTATAAATTTGGCAAAGAGAGGTAAATTCAGCAGGGCTTGTGCTGTAGGCACAGAGGATGGAATGAGATAATATAAAGAGAAAATATGCATTACTACTTACCTCACAAAGTCCCTCAAGGGTTGATTTTCACAAATATAAAGTATCTCCTCCGCAGAACAGTGAAAAGTGTTTTTTATTTTCTCAATGATCTTCAAAGCCACAATTGTTTTCCCTGTGCCAGGAAGACCAAGGACAAACAGCTTCCTGACTTTGTGCAGGTTCTTGGAGAGCAGCTCATACTGTTTGAGAGTCAGAAGGTTGAAAATCTCACAGCCAAGATGGTCACTTAAGTAGGACTTAAAGCCCAGCACAACAATCACAAGTGCCCCCAGGAAGGCAGGGATGTCCCTGGAGGTGAGGATGTAACTCTTTGGGTAAGGGCTGGTGGAATTATGCAGGGTTTCTTGCCGGGGAACATCATTCTCTGCAACTTCTCTCTGGTCCTTTGTGCCATTGAGCTGCAGGATCTGGGGAATCACACACACTCTTGAAGTATATCCCCCATCATTGACTAGTTTTTGCTTTAAGGCACGAGCAGTTTCTCTCCAGGTTCCAGACGTGACACAAGAGGCATCCCTGACCACAGTAAACAACACTGGATACTCATTGTCAGCTACTAAAAGAGCATCACACACAACATCCGGGTTTTTCTTCAAGCCAATGTCAGTAGCCCAACTCCTTGAAAATATCAGTATTCCTGTGGTAACTCCATGGAGTTGTTTTCTCATTAAATCCTCTAATCCAGGGTACTCTGAGAACAGGTCAGTGCAGATGGTTTCTGGTTTCCATTTGATTTCATTGGAACCCACTAAAAAAAAAAAAAAAAGTAATCAAAAATTAGAAAAGCAAAACACAGCTAATATTTTACTCAAGACAGCAGTTACTTGGGGGAGATGTTACACCATGAGGTCATCAAAGTGAATCATTAACTAGATTTCAGTTATGCTCAAAATAAATCATTCCCTCTCTCTTTTTTCTCCAAGAAGACTTTTGAGCATAACAGCGGTCAGACAGTGCACAAAGCCCTTGGAGTCCAGGTATATTCTCAGTAACTGTGTGCATTAGGGATTATACTTAGTGGCAAAAACAGGAGAGGACATCAAAGCATCTGAAAAACCTAGGAAATCAACATTTTTGGAGCCACTGCACCTTTTAAAATCACCCTAATAGTGCTATGCCTAAAATCTGATATTTATATTATGCTGTCTTCCTTAAAGTTCTGTCAAATAAAAGCTTAAATTAAAGAAGAAATCCAGAACAAACACCATACCTGGGTAGAGATGTTCTTGGAGTTCAGCTGCACACTGGAGACGAGCGCTGGAATAAACTGGCTTGATCAGAGGGGGGCCATTTGCCAAGCTGAGCTCAGTCCTAAATTCATTAGCCAAAGCTGACACATCTAGGGGGAAGAAATGTATGTTATATCCATCAGTATCCTTCCATGTGAACTTTTAAAACACTGCACTAAGGAGGAACTAAAAGGATTAATTTCAATCCTCCCTTTGCAATCCTACCCAAGAAAATGCTGCCTACACAGTTAAGAATGACAGGACTCCAGTGCTTGCCCAGAGAAGCTGTGGCTGCCCCACCCCTGGAATTGTTCAGTGCTGGGTTGGACAGGAATGATGCAACCTGGTCTAGAGGAAGGTGTCCCTGCCCATGTGAGGGGATTGGTATGAGATGATCTTTAAGGTCCCTTCCAAACCAACCCATTCCAGGATTCTGTGATCTGTATTTGCTGTAGAAGAGAGAGGGCTCTCTCGAAAAGGGGGCTTTACAGTTCAAACACAAGATCTAGACCCCACATGGGATGAGTATGAGATCCCAGCTTTGGATGGGATGACATTTTACAATGAAGTTGGGCAAAGTCCCTTAAAACAAGCAAAGCCTTGCAGCCCTGCTCCTTCAAAACAGCCCTTAGCAACCACAGAGCCGCTTCTGGGCCATCTTGAATCTTTCCACTTCATTTAGGGCCATAGGGCATCCCTAGGAAGGAAGGTTTATTCCAGTTGGGAGTGCTTCAAGAAGTGCTGCTGAACCGGTTCAGGGTGGGGTAACACTGCAGGACAGTGATCACACCTTCACCTTGGTGCCTGGGGCTGGGCCTTGGGCCCAAGGGCCTTTTCTGGGGCTGTGAGAACTCCCAGCAAAACAAGCTGGGCTTTCCTCCTGCCCAAGGCAGAAATGAAGTTGGCTCCAACATAGGTGCAGGTTTTACCTGGGTCTGCAGCTGTCATGAGCTCCATCCATTTCCCAGCTCTCAGTCTTTCAATCTTGCCATCCATCACCATCCAGGATTCGGGGTCACCATGGAACACAGGGCAGCAGGACCGTTCAATGTGCACAGCGCAGATGTAGCCCTGGGAACATCCTGCTTGGTCATAAACATCCAGGATGTGTGTCTGGAACCGCACTCCCAGAGCCCCAGAGCCACAGGAGTGATAGACAGACATTGAGCGGATGATCTCAGCCACTTTTTGTTCTAAGGCTTCTTTCTCCATGTTAATGTGGGTTCCGGTGACTTTACCATTGTCATCCACACCCAAAAATAAATATCCACCCTCAGTGTTTGCAAAGGCAGAGACATATTTAGGAAGGGTTTTGTTCATGTATTCCAAGATATTCATTGTACCGTATTTCTTAAATTCAATATGAGTTGTCTCTGTGAAACCCAGGACCTCCCCAACCAGCACTTGGTCTCTCTTTAGAAACCTGCCTGCAGCATCTTGGATGTCGTGCTCCTCATTTGCTCCACCGAAAAAAGTCAGCCGAGCTCTCTTGGCACTCAGACCATTGGCATTGCCGCACTTGGCAGAGCTTTTCTTCCCCCTCAGGAATGCAGGAGCTTCTCTTGATTTGACAGGGAAAACGGAAGTACCGGACCTATGAAACAAACCAGTGCTCAGGCTGCAGAGACGCGGCTTGGTGGTTTCTGCACTTCCTTGTTCCAGGCCTCCACAGCTCCATGTTTTAACAAAAAGCAGCAGGTTACTCCCCTCCTGCATCCACGTGAAGTACTCGCCAATCTCGTTGCTGCCGATGCAGTCCCGGAGGCTGTTCTCGATGTCCAGACCAATGCCATGCTCCTGGAAGCAGTAATTCCTGTCCTCACTCTCCATCCTCACTATTCCTCCTCCTGAATTCAGCAACGCACACACTGCTCTGGAAAGGTCCCTTCGTTGCCTCTTCTGATTCAAAGAGGTCATCTTCTTTCTGCAGCTCTCTCCAACAAGCATTTCCCTAATATCTACCACCACATCGGCATAGCTCGTGTTCGAGTCAATCAGCAGCTGCTTCTCCTGGTCGGCCATCCTGATCCTGGAGGGATACGTTATTAAAAACACTTCATGATTATCACAGAATCATTTGGGTTGGGAAAGCCCTCTGAGACCATGAACTGCTCCCCCAGCACTGCCAAGGCCACCACTAACCCATGTCCCCAGGTGTCATATCTACACATATGTTAAATCCCTTCAGGGATGGGGAGTCCACCACTGCCCTGGGCAGCCTGGCCCAGGGCTGTATAATCCTTCTCCCTGATATCCAGCCAGAACCTTCCCTGATGCAACTTGAGGCTGTTTCCTCTGGTTCGGTCCCTTGTTCTCTGGGAGAAGAGCTGGACTCCCACATTGTTCCACCCTCCTGTCTGGGAGTTTCAGAGAATGAGAAGGTCTCCCCTGAGCCTCCTTTTCTCCAGGCTGAGCCCCCCCAGCTCCTTCAGCTGCTCCTCACCAGACTTGTGCTCCAGACCCTTCCCCAGCTCCGCTCCGCTGGACACCCGAAGAAGGCCACACACAAAGAAACACAAAAGAAAACCTGGGGAAAAATGAAACATTGAAAAACTAAAATGCAAGTCGTTTGCAAGGCACAGGCAGGTCCGAGGGCGCTGGTGCAAAGGCAGTGAGAGCGGCGGGTTAAGCCGGGAATTGCTGGAGCTCTCTGGCCGCCCGGGCTGCAGCCGCTGCTCTGAAGCCCCGGCCAAGGAAGGCGCAATCCCCGCTCCCCACGGCCGATTCCTCCCGGCCCCCCGTGAGCGGCCGGGACCGCCGCACAGCTCGGAGGGGCCACCCCGGGCCGGCCCCGCTTCCGACGCCGGTCCCGGAGGCGGCTCCGCCGGGCGATGCCGCCGGCTCGGCTCGGGCTCGGGGCTCTGAGCTCGGGGCTCTGAGCTCGGGGCTCTGAGCTCGGGGCTCTGAGCTCGGGGTCGGATCCGACCGCTCCGGACAGCGCGGGCACCGGCCCAGGGCGCGGAGGGGTCACCGAGCGGGCGGGGAGGGAAGGTGGGGGGCCCGGAGCGGGCGCTGACCGACCTTACTGGGGACAAGGGGCTCCGGTCCGGCTCCGTGGGTGCGAGGACGGCGAGTCCCGGCGCTATCGGGGCTTCGCGGCGGCTCCCGGTGAGGAATTCCCAGCGCGGTCCCGCCTGGCGCGTCAACTTCCCGCCTTTTCCCCTCCCGCCCCTTTCGCTTCCCCGTTCACGCCCTGCCTACAGCGTTCTCTGCATCTGTACTCCAAACAGTTTCGTTTTAAAAATATTCTATTCAGTGCTAAAATAACTTTCCGCTTCCACGCGCGGCCGCGCTTTCGGCTTCGCCAGGCTGGATCGAGGCTCGGCGGGACATGCAGTGGCGGCGGGGGAGAGCGGGGCTGGGGGCAGCGGGGTTTGGGGGGAGCAGAGCCCGGGCCGGCAGCGCTTCCCGGGGGCTCCGCACCCCGGTCCAGCCCCGGCCCAGCCTCGAGGGCCCTTCGGCATCGGCGGATTCCGCATTTCAGACCCCCCAAACCTCCCATCTCCCACATTTCCCCTGCCCTTGAAACTCTTTTGCAATTAATTGGAAATGCCTACTATTTCAGGAACACTGGCCCTGGCAAAATCCTCCCATTTTCCGATGTGGAACACTGCCCACCATAAATACAAGAGCTCTCAAAGTCGGAAAAAGCCTTTTATTACAGTCAAGCTGAATCCTGAGAAATTTGTACAAATATCTCAGTCAAATACCTTTTTTTTTTTTTTACCCTGGACAAATATAACATTATTATGTCACTGTTTATCCAGCTTTATCTAATCTAATATCAGAGTAAGCAATTATAGACACCATGTTACAGACAGATACTGGCAAAGTTATGGCAACAGTTGGCAGCTGATACAGAAAGAAAAGATGTAATTAAGTGGTAGATTCTCAAAAGGGTTTGAAGAGCCACACTGCTGATGGCACATTAGACATGACAATAAGAATCAGGCTGTGCAACAATACACTCTCCTGTAACTGCTGGTGGACTTGAACTCTTCAAGAGTCCTGTTAGAATGAGGAAATCTTGGGGATCCACTGCAGTTTCTGATTGTGATATCATATTCCTTGTGTAACAGCACATGGTGTCTAGTGTTGGCTCTGGACACTGCAAAGAGCAGAAGATTGGGACCTACTCGATCTTGTGAAGTGTCGGGGTGGATTAGAAACAATCTTTGTCACCCAAATAAACATGCATTACGTATGTGGTGCATATGTATTAGATAGGCAGGTTGATGTGAATTTTTCTATATAAAAGATATAACTTTTTACACCTTTCTGCGCTTGAATTGTGGAGACCTCCACCTTGCACCCTGTGCAGAATAAACAATGTTTCCTATCTCGATTCTGTGTCTGTGTTTAGAGAGCTCCTAAAACTGGACACAGTGTGAGGGTGCTCGTGGTCTCCATGAAGATGCCCTTTCCCTGGCACCCACGGATGGATTAGGAAGGGGATAGGGTTTAGGCAGCTCCTCACACACAGGTTTGGGATTGAGGTCCATCCACAGAGTGGGGGTGCCCTGCAGCACATCCCCTCACCACTGCCGTGGGGCTGCCAGGATAGGGGACTTTGTCGTGGGGCCTGTGGTGGGGGGATGTGGGGGATCCCTCACAGAGAGGCTGTGGGAGACACCCACCAATGGAGGACCCGGGAGCCCCTGAGAGGCCATGGGTATCCTCACATGGAGGGATGTGTGGGACCCCCACTCACACAGGATGTGGGGGATCCCCCCTCACACAGAAGGATGTGGGGGATTCCTCCTCACACAGAAAGATGTGGGGGATTTCCCCTCACATAGAAGGATGTGGGGGATCCCCCCTCACACGGAAGGATGTGGGACCCCCTCACACGGAAGGATGTGGGGGATCACCCCTCACACGGAAGGATGTGGGGGACCCCTCACACAGAAGGATGTGGGGGATTTCCCCTCACACAGAAGGATGTGGGGGACCCCTCCTCACACGGAAGGATGTGTGGGACCCCCCTCACACGGAAGGATGTGGGGGATCGCCCCTCACACGGAAGGATGTGGTGGACACCCCTCACACAGAAGGATGTGGGGGATTCCCCCTCACACAGAAAGATGTGGGGGATTTCCCCTCACATAGAAGGATGTGGGGGACCCCTCCTCACACGGAAGGATGTGTGGGACCCCCCTGACAAGGAAGGATGTGGGGGACCCCCCTCACAAGGAAGGATGTGGGGGATCACCCCCTCACACGGAAGGACGTGGGGGATCGCCCCTCACACGGAAGGCTGTGGGGGATCGCCCCTCACACGGAGGGACGTGCGGAGCCCCCTCAGGCGGGGCGGGCCCGGCTGTGGGGCGGCTCCAGCCGCGCGGGGGCGCTGCCCGCCCGTCTCCAGGGAGCGCGGCCATGGCGGGCGCCGTGCGGGGCGCGGGCGGGGGAGGCGCCGTGGGCCGCTCCCGGGGCCCCGCCGTGTACCGCTCCCGGGACCCCGTCCGCAACCTGCGCCTGCGGTGAGCGCCCGCCCGCCCCCGGCCCCGGCCCCGGCGGCCCGCACAGCCCTGACGCTCCGCTCTCTCCCCGCAGGGTCCGCATCCAGCGGGTCGCGTCCGCCGGGCCCGTCCTGCCGCAGGCGCCGCCGCCGCTCGCCGGCCCCGAGCGCTCGGGCCGGGCCGGCAGCGCCGCCGGGGAGGGAGCGGTGCCGCTGGCGGTGATCGGGGCCTCTCCCGCGGGCGCCCGGCGGCCCCCGGAGAACGAGGAGGAGGAGGAGGCCGAGGTGGGGTGGCAGGAGAAGCTGTTCAGCCAGGTGGGTGCGCGGGGCGGCGGGAGGGGCTTCACGGAATGGGTCGGGTGGGAGGGGATCACTGGGGTCATCCATCCAGTCCGACCCCCTGCTCAGGCAGGGTCCCCTGAGCATGGTGCTCAGGAATGTGTGCAGCCGGCTTTGGAATATCCCCAGCGAGGAGACTCCACGCCCTCCTGGGCAGCCTGTTCGGTGCTCGGTCACTGCATAGGGAAGTTCTTCCTCATGTTCGGGCGAAACTTCCTGGGCATCAGTCTCTGCCCGTTGTTTCTTGTCCCGTTGCTGGGCACTCCTGAGCAGAGCCTAATCCAACCTCTGACACTTCCCTGTACTCACTGATAGGCATTGATGAGGTCCCCTCTCAGCCATCTCGGCTCAAGGCTGAAAAGCCCCAGCTCCTCTGCCTTTCCTCTTAAGGAAGATGCTCAGTCCCCTCATCATCCTCCCAGTCTCTGCTGGACCCACTCCAGGAGCTCCATGTCTCTCTGGTAGGGAGGAGCCCAGAACTGGACAGGCTTGGGGAAGTTGCCCAGTGCCCTTTTTGCACCTCTCTATGGGGTTCCATTGTTTCAGGGTGAGCTGCTGTGCCTGAGCCCTTCCAGGCGGGCCTTGGTGGGTGCTCTTCGCTGCCATGTGCCTGAGCAGTGTTGGAGCTGCTCCAGAGCTCGGGTTATTTGCTGGGATTCCCAAAGGGCCTTTTCTCTCTGGTGGCTTTGCAAACCTCAGCTGAAAGGTGTTTGTGGCTCTGCCAGTGCTGGTGAAAGGTGGCAGTTGTGCTTTACCTGTGGTGTTGTCAGTTTGAGGTGGATCTGTACCTGAATGAGTCAGCCTGCCAGACTCCCCTGGACCGGCAGTACCATGAGGAGATCCGGAAACTGGAGAAGGCTGGAGGTCGGAAGAACTATCGCATCTTCACCTACACTGACCACGACCGATTCACCAACCTAGAGGAGGTACCAGCTCTTAGTTGCTCTGTGTCCGTCAAAACTTCCAGGCCTATGGCAGAGTTAACATTTGTTGGTTCTTGGCCCTGCAGAAGCCAGGCAGATGCCCTGAGTGCAGGAGGAAGCACTGCTGCAAAGCAGCTTCACCTGGTGCCCCAGACCTTGGGTGGGATGTCCTTGTTTCAGAGTGATGGTTGGGACAGCTCAGAGGGACTCAGCTTTGTAGCACTGCTCTGTCGGTAGCTTGTGGGGTGGAGCAAGCTGTACTTTGCCACCAGAACAGTGAAGGAATTCTACAGTCATTTAGACGTTTGTGTTTGCCTGTGACTGTGTACATACCTGTTCTCTTCTCCGAGAGGAGAGCTGTGTTTGGGAAAGATGTCCTAGTACCATTAAGCTAATTCCTGTGTGTTCTCTCTTGCAGCTCTGCCAGAAGGTAACTGACTCAGATCACGAGGTGCCATCGTACCTGGCTGAGAGGATGGCCAATGTGAGGAGGAGAAGACAGGACCGCAGGCCAGTGTGAGTGCAAACTGGGGCTCAGGGCTTGCTCTGCAGGTTTCCTGGTGCTGGTGCCCCAGCTGTGGATCAGCCTGGTCTGGGGGAGAGGGAGGCTTGAGCTGTGTCACACGTGGAATCCAGGAGTGTGACTCCTCGTGGTGGGGGGCTTGGTGCTGCTGGGCTGAGCTGTGACTGGTGCTGTTCTGTTGTTCACAGAGAACCGAGTTCTCTGAAGTCGAAAATCATCACCTGGGAACCCTCGGAAGAATTTATAAAGAACAATCATGTGATTAACACACCTGTCCAGACCATGTACATCATGGGGGACCTGGGACCTTATGGGAAGTAAGTAAAATCCTGAAGGGATCTAGCTTTCCCAAAAGGAAACCCATCTTCACTCCTTACTCAAATCTCCTGTTTCTTTCACTAGCTGAGGGGAGAGAATTCCAAGAGCTCAGTAACTCAGGCTGCAATTTCTACCTCTTTCCTCATTTGGGAGGTAGCTGAGTGTATCCCTCCAAAATACTTCTAGGAAAGTATGTGTGTGTTTATTCCCTTCTGTACCTGCATGTGCCTTTACCAGCTCTGCCGTTCCAGGGAACGAGAGTGTCTGTGCTCTCTGTTTAGACTGTGTTTCCTTGATTTCTTCCTTTAGGCTTGGTAACAGAGAGTATGAACATGTTCTTTGCACAATCAAGGTGGATGGCAATGGGGTGATCACAGTGAAGCCTGATTTCACTGGCACAAAAGGACCCTACCGGTGAGTGGGACAGGGCTGGGACCTCTCCTGGGACTGTTACTGGGGGCTGCAGTGGCTGTTTCCTTCAAGCAGGGGATCAGCACTTAAATTGAGAGGTATTTTTGAGATTTATCCCAGAGATTTCTAAGGA